GCAACAGTGCCCCCACTTCAGATGTCAACCACAAGTCAGATTGTCACCTGTACTTCTGATCTATGGGCTATAAATTGGGGTTCCAAAAACCCCTCCTTGGCTTCAATAATTTTCTAGAACAGCTCACCAAAATCAGGGAAATACTTAGGTTTGCCAGTTTATTATATGCTAAAGGATATGATAAAAGACACAGATGAACATTGAGATGAAGAGACACATAGGGTAAGGTCTGGAAGGGTCCCAAGTGAGGAGCTTCCGTCTCTGTGGAGTTGGGGTGTACCACCCTCCAAGTTCACGGATTTGTTTGCCAACCTGGAAGTTCTCTAAACTCCATAGTTGGGGGATTTTTATGGAGGCTTCATCACATAGGCATGATCGATTATTAACTCAATCTCCAGCCCCTCTCACTTCCCTGAAAGACAGGGTGGGGCAGAAAGTTCCAAGTTTCTAGTCATGGCTTGGTGTTTCTGGTGACCAGCCCCCATCCTGAAGCTATCCAGGAGCCCACAGAAAAGTCACCTCATTAGAACAAAAGATGGTCCCAACACCCAGGAAATTCCAAGTGATTTAGGAGCTCTGTGTCAGGAACCGGGGTCAAAGACCAAATAGGACAAAAGATGCTAGCACCTTTATCGGTTAGGAAATTACAAAGGTTTTGTAATCTCTGGCTAAAAGTCAGTGATAAAGACCAAAATATACATTTCTTATTATATCACAATCAGATATGGAAAATGTCATTGCTTTAAAGTAGTGTTAATTCACACTATCATCAGATCATCTGTGGACTACATGAATATATTTGTGTAAATGGATCAGAACCTATAACATTTCAAATGTACATTGATATAAATAAAATTGTCTACTGCAAATCATTTAATAAAGTCCAGTTTTTACTTCCCTTTCTACTCATCTTACATTCCATTGTCCACTCTCCTGCTTACATCTTCAACTCTTTTGGTTCTTTGCCCTTTTGATTTACCCTCCTGGCAAAACCCTGATGCTGGAGCAATCCAGGATGCCTGTCATGGACTCGTGCAGAAGGTCTGCAAGCATTTCCATCATCCCACCCAACGTGACAGTAAAGGTCCTGCAACCCAGCCAATCCCAATCAATTTTGGCATGAATCCCACGCTCAAGCTGGGACAGTTAGAATTCCTTCTGAAGCCGAGAACAAAGGAGTTAAAAAAGTCTTCCCTGGGCTAGAAGAAGAAAAAAAGAAAAACTCTGAGATAAGCTTTGCTAACTGCAGCTGTGCATACACAGCATAATCAACTGTTGTTCAAAACTAACCAGGTCTTTCTGTCCCTCCTTAGTATATGAGTGAGCTGTCTTTCCAGGAAGTCAAGGTCCAGACATCAAGATTCAGCCTCACAAGGCCAAACACAGGCTCAAGATGAAAACTAACCAAAATAGTCCAGTCAAGGGAAAAGAAATCTAGCCTTCAAAGCCAAATGCTAGCTGGTGGGAAGGTGCCAACCAGCAATGCCACATGCACTTCCTCCCCTACCTAAAACCCCAGATAAAAACCCCTACCTTTTTCCCTTTGAGGATGTGACTCTTAGTTTTAACTCCCATCTCCTTGTCTGGCAGCCTTTCAATAATAAACCTCTTTCCTTGCCACAAGCCGGGCATTCCAGTTATTGGCCCTCCTATATGACAGGTAAATGAACTTGTGTTTGTGTTGGTAACACTTCCCCCAAGGTATTTAAGGTTAAGATTCAGAGTCTTGCCAGCTTTTTCTTGGCCAAAGATTTGAGCAAGAGTGGTATTCAAAATATTCAATGATTGGTATGGTATGGGCACTGGCCGTTCAGAATGATTGCAAACCATGTTATAATAGGAGGGGCCTGAAGGACCCTGATGTGCCTTTTTTGTCCGTGTTGTTGCTGGATCATGGGAAGGACATGACATAGGGGTGCCAAAGGGAGGTGGTAACTTTCAGTATTTTAAAATCCATATGTGTGGGCCAGTCCCGTGCCTGAGTGGTTAAGTTCTCATGCTCCACTTCAGCAGCCCAGGCTTTCGCCGGTCCAGATCCCGGGTGCGGACATGGCACGGCTCATCAAGTCATGCTGACGTGGCATCCCAGGTGCCACAACTGGAAGAATTCATAACTAAGGATATACAACTATGTACCAGGGGCTTTGGGGAGAAAAACAAAAAAGAAAATCTTTAAAAAAAATAAATAAGGGGCTGGCCTGGTGGCGCATCGGTTAAGTGTGCATGTTCTGCTTCAGTGGCCCAGGGTTTGCTGGTTTGGATCCTGGGTGCGGACATGGCAGAGCTTGGCAATCCATGCTGTGGTAGGCGTCCCACATATAAAGTGGAGGAAGATGGGCACGGATGTTAGCTCAGGGCCAGTCTTCCTCAGCAAAAAGAGGAGGATTGGCAGCAGATATTGGCTCAGGACTAACCTTCCTTAAAAAAAAAAATTAAATTAAATAAAAATTAAAACTTAAATAAATCAATAAAATCCATATGTGGAACTTGGGAACTCTGGGCAACCACGCTTCCTGCCATGTTGTTTTATTACATCTGTTATAATTTACTTTAAAATACTTCCTTATAGACAGTGTAATGTATTTGTGAGTAAATTAACTTTAATCTACATTCTAGAGGAGGGTAGTTATCATTAGAGTTACCTTATTAGGAATTTGTGATCTAGGGGTGGTTAGTTATAATCTGAAGAGCCCTAATCAGGAATCCATACTTCCCAGATGGCTACTTAAGCATTTCAAGGATCTTCATTGAAATTTATACCAGAAGGTTCATTAATTAGCATAAGAGATGTTAGAAATACATGTTCCTCGGTGAAGTGAACGGTGTTCCAGATACATGGCCAGCTAGAAAGATTTCACAGCCCTATTGCTCTTGTGCAAATGAAGTACAAGAACACCTGATGAGGGGCTGCCCCGTGGCCGAGTGGTTAGGTTTTCCCACTCTGCTGCAGGTGGCCCAGTGTTTCGTTGGTTCGAATCCTGGGCGCGGACATGGCACAGCTCATCAAACCACGCTGAGGCAGTGTCCCACATGCCACAACTGGAAGGACCCACAACAAAGAATATACAACTATGTACTAGGGGGCTTTGGGGAGAAAAATGAAAAAAATAAAATCTTTAAAAAAAAAAAGAACACCTGATGAGAGAGTAAATTCCATAAAAGCAGGGATTTTTATTGGTTTTACTCATAGCTGTCTACCCAGAACAGTGTCTGACACATAGTAGGTACTCAATATAATCAATATTTGTTAAATAAGTTGTTGCAAAGCCCAGCAACCTACTACCTTCTCAGTCTAAGTTCTATCTGATTCTATGTCACCCACCTCTCCGCAATGTCTTCCAATCAACTCTTGGAGGCATCTACTCACAGACCTGAATAGAAGTTTGGCTGAGTCTGTTTGAATATTGCTGCAGCCGCCTTTTCTACCCACTTGCTAATAAAACTTATGTGTTTGGAAGAATTTTGTCCAAATTTTGCTTTTCTTGTAATCTATCACCTGATATCAATGTTAGGGGGAGGGCAAGCTTAGCTTCCACCTAGTCGAATCAATGGATGCTGTTGATATTTACTAAAAGAATCCGACAGCTGCTGAAGGGCCAAAGAGACTGTGAGACAGAGACATCTAACATTTTGTCTATCAGTTCCTGTGTAAATTGAGTCCTCTTCTTGGGGTCTACCTGGTGGGTAAGTTGGCACATTCTGCTTTGGCGGCCCAGGGTTCACCAGTTTGGATCCGGGGTACGGACCTATGCACCGCTTGGCAAGCCATGCTTTGGCAGGCACCTCACATATAAAGTAGAGGAGGATGGGCATTGATGTTAGCTCAGGGCCAGTCTTCCGCAGCAAAAAGAGGAGGGTTGGTGGTGGATGTTAGCTCAGGGCTAATCTTCCTTAAAAAAAAAAAGAGTCCTCTGCTTCAAGGAGGCATCAGTGCTCTCTGGCAGTGTGGAGGAGGAATCTGGGAGGCTCTCATCAGATATCAGAACCAGCAGAATGGATGTTATTTACCAGGAAGACCTTGTAGAACAAGAAGACAGTTGGCTAAGGATATAGACTTAGGAATCAACATTTGAAAAACAGGAAAGTCAAGGGGGCTGGCCCCGTGGCCGAGTGGTTAAGTTCGTGCGCTCCGCTGCAGGCAGCCTGGTGTTTCCTTGGTTCGAGTCCTGTGTGCAGACATGGCGCTGCTCATTGGGCCATGCTGAGGTGGCATCCCACATGCCACAACTAGAAGGACCCACAACAAAGCATATACAACTATGTACCGGGGGGCTTTGGGGTGAAAAAGGAAAAAAAAATCTTTAAAAAACAAAACAAAACAGGAAAGTCAAGAGAAACCATGAAAGATATCAGCAATCTAGATGAGTATGGCATCACAGAAGTAAGAGAGGAGAGGCAAGGAGGGCAGAGGAGAGGAGAAAATGTGATAAAGATGATAAAAATGTGATAAAGTAGAGGAAGATGGGGGTGGATGTTAGCTCAGGGCCAGTCTTCCTCAGCAAAAAGAGGAAGACTGGCAGCAGATGTTAACTCAGGGCTAATCTTTCTCAAAAAAAAAAAAGAAAAAGAAAAAATGTGACAAAGAATGCAGTGCAGAACTTGGTCTCAGACTTCTTTTCATTGTAATGTGATAGCAAGTTTGTAAGATCAGAACTGAGAGTATCTTGTAGTTTTGTCAATGAATGATTTTACTGAAAGTAGTTTTAAAACCTGTACTGGGGCTGGCTATAATATTGCAGTACAGAGACAGTGTAGGGGAGGTGAGAAAGTGGAAAAAGCAACTATAGTTCATATTTTTAGAAGTTTGGATGAAAATGAAATCAATACTTTATAAGGATGGAAAGACTTGATCATGTTCATGAATTGAAAACAAGGAGGCAGTATTGACGGTGGGGTTGAAGACACAGAAAAAGATATGTAAGCTGCCGGCTCAAGGTGTAAGGTTTTCTTAATTTGAGTAAAGGCTAAGTTTTCACTAAAAAAGAAAGGACCCTAAAATATAGTAGCTTAAATAAGACAGAAGTTTATTTCTCTGCCATGTAACAGTCTGGCCAGTTTAGACTGACACGCAGCTCTGCACCATGAAGTCTCTCGGGGGCTCATATTCCTTCCATATGTTGTGTCACCAGCACTACATGTTGAAGCTGGGTCAACGGCACAGCCCTGTTCCAGCACGTAGGAAAGAAAGGCAAGAACGAATTAGGTGGAAGTTGTATGCGTTACCTCTGCTCATGTTCTTTTGGTGAGAATTTAGTCATGGAACTACCCCTAAGTGTTAAAATTTTGGTAATTTAGTTTAAAATACTGTATTTCAACATAGTTAATATGATATGAGGGGCTGGCCCAGTGGCGCAGCGGTTAAGTTCGCGTGTTCTGCTTCTCGGCGGCCCGGGGTTCGCCGGTTCGGATCCCGGGTGCGGACATGGCACCGCTTGGCACGCCATGCTGTGGTAGGCGTCCCATGTATAAAGTAGAGGAATATGGGCACGGATGTTAGCTCAGGGCCAGGCTTCCTCAGCAAAAAAAGAGGAGGACTGGCAGTAGTTAGCTCAGGGCTAATCTTCCTCAAAAAAAAAAAAAAATGATATGATGTATGTGCCAAGAACGTAAGCTTTGATTCTATAAAGGGTCAACTAACATGCTAAAGGAACAAAGGCCAGTCCAGTTCAGCAGTCTTCAGCTAGCTTTAGATCAGAAAGCAACATACTTGGGGGCCAGCCCCATGGCTGAGTGGTTAAGTTCGCACACTTCGCCTCAGTGGCCCAGGGTTTCGCTGGTTTGGTCCTGGGCACAGACCTAGGAACGTTCATCAAGCCACGCTGAGGTGGCGACCCACATAGCAGAGCCAGAAGGACCTACAACTAGAATATACAACTATGTTCTGGGGGGCTTTGTGGAGAAGAAGAAGAAAAAAAAGATTGGTGACAGACGTTAGCTCAGGGCCAATCTTTAACAAGGAAAAAAAAAAGAAAAAGATGAGATATTAAAAAAAAGAAAAGAACGTATTCCAAAGGTTGCTGGTAGCACAATTTTCTACTGTCACGATCTCCATAAACCCTTGCCAATTGTCATAATGAATATAAAAATGGATTTTGTATTGAGGAAGCTAGTGATTTGTTAAATAGTATGATGAACCTTAGAAACAGTGAAATTAAAGTTACTCAGGGTATGGGGATGTCTGCAGTAGTTAGGAGACTTTTCTTATGTTTGCACGAATAGCAAGTTTTGTTATCTGATAACTTAAGGATGCCTCCTGATTCCTAAGCTGACGTGTGTTAAGCCATTGGGATTTCTGATTCCATCTTGGTGACTAGAGGGCACAGAATCCTGTGTCTGAAATGTTTTTGTACGTCTTGAGCATATCTTTCATTCAGCATGTCAGCAGAGCACCTAAAAGGACAAAGAGAGCTAGAATTTCACTGAGCTTCCAGAACTGGTCATACGTACATTTCTTTGGTAGCTACTATTCTCTATCCAAAAGAATCCAACACTTGGATTGACCAAATATGCTTAGGTTTATTAGCTGAGTGTAAGGGCGCTTAAAGGAGGCTGGGAAATGTGGTCTCCAGCTGGGCAGCCACGTGCCCAAGAAGAAGAGGAGAAAAAAATAGAACATATGTGGTCTTCCCCGCCCCCTTTTTAGGACACGTAAGAGTTGGCCACAGTAGAAAGCTTAGCTTGCATAGGGAAAAAAAAATGCGTGAGGATACAGATAAGTTTATAGATGTAGGGGCAGGAAATTGAAGACCTGAAGGCCTCCGATTTCTGGGAGATAGGAAACCATGTTTGTATGTTTGTTTATTTTACCTGCATTAATTAGGATATTGTTTTGGCTGGTTTAGAAGAGAGAAACTAGATAAAAGATTTCTTTCTCACTCATAAAAAGTCTGAGTTGTTAGTCCGTAGGGGTGAGTGGCATTGCAAAATGAGGTCATCTGGAAACCCAGGCTTGCTCTCTCTGTGGCTCTGTCATCCTAGGGTGTGGTCGTGGTACGTGTGGTTGAGGCTGGCTCACTCCCACCATCATGTCTGTGTCCCAGCCCACGCACAGGGCAGAGAAAGAGTGAGAGAAGAGAGGGCAAGCAGCTTCCTTAGGAAGATGTGATCTCTTCTGCTCACAACTCATCCGCTGGAACTTAGCCGCATGGCCAAACCTAGCTTTACGTGTTGCTGGGAGGTCATGCGCTCAGCAGAAACACGTGGTGGGAGTGAGTGGGGAGACGGCTTAGCAGATTCTGCAAAACCAAAAACAAAACAACCCAACAGAAGTCACTTAAAAAAAATAGTTTGAAGTAATTTACCAATATGTACAAAGGACTACAAAGTAGATATAAAAGTAAATAATAAAATTAGGGAGAAAGGGAAGAGAAGGAAAAAAAGAGGATATGAATACGTTTAGTAGTCAAACAGATGCCATATATACTTCAGGTGAAAGAAGGGAGTGGGGGGCCTTTTCTTGGCTTGAAGCCAAGGTAATTTATCCAAACTGCTGATACACTTGTTCTTTTTCTTGAGGAAGATTAGCTCTGAACTAACTGCTGCCAATTCTTTTCGCTGAGGAAGCCTGGCCCTGAGCTAACATTATATGCCCATCTTCCTCCACTTTATATGTGGGACGCCTACCACAGCATGGTGTGCCAAGTGGTGCCATGTCTGCATCTGGGGTCTGGACTGGTGAATCCTGGGCCGGCGAAACGGAACGTGGGCACTTAACCGCTGCGCCACACAGCCAGCCCAGGATACACTATTTTTATATTTCACCAATTAAATATTTTGTTTAGATTCTTTCCTGCCTTCTCAGAGATTTGAGGGATAAAGTACTAAGTGGTATTATAACTTGTGTGCTACAATAACTAACCCATCAAATTCAACTTTAATAATTGACAGAGTTTTGAACGTTGCATTATTTGGTTAGCAAGTTAGACACAAAATATATGAAAGGACAAAAAATGTGGTGTTTATGTTATTCAACTTTCACATTTTACCTACCCTTTCATAGATAGTTTGTAGGAAAAGCATTTTACTAAATTCAAATGGGAAACTATTCAAAATACCAGACATGTGGACAATGTCCTTATTGTAGCAAGTTGCCAGCCAAAGCAGTTATGACTCAAAATGGCTATCCTTCCAGAAATTTTAACTCAAAAACTATCATCATTATTTGGTTGGGTTTTCGTTGGATTACAGTCTATAGATTGGGGAAGCTTTCATCAAACTTCTAGTTCTTTCCAGCTTACCTTTTTTAGATTCCAAGTCAATCAGAGAATGAGGTCATCAGGCTGCTATTGATCTTGCTCACTATGGCAGTATCAACACGCAGAATGAAGAACCTGAAACAAAGGTGGAAAACATGTGATAGCTGCGTATTTGAGAGAGATTTTCAGAAGTATGTCACGGGTGGCGTAGCAGGAATCTCAGCTTGAATCTAAGCTGAGTCTGTTGCTGGGGTTCAAGCATGTCTGGGCATGTCTAGCCAACTGGTGAGGCAGGGCTGAAAGAAACCTGCTGACATGGGGGCTGAGACTGCTTCCTAGAACAGGCTCATTTTAATGAAAGAGAGAATTAGACAGAGAAGCCCTATAAGAAAGACTTAGTCATTGGATGGGGAGTAATAAATACAGCTTGGGGTAGCTGTTACTCAAAGCTGTCGCCAATCTAGGCCCATGAAAGCATGTCTGGGTCCCTAAGAGAAACAGAGCTTTGAGTGAAAACATAAAGAGGTGTTTCAGTGAAAACCATATATGATATTGGGCAAAGCAGTCTGCTTCGGGGTTTCCCTAAAAGAGGTCAACATAATGATCTCCATTTCTTCAGGCTACACGATGGCTTTGGCTGTTTAGTTTGTATCACAGGTCCTGGTAGGAGGCGGCAGCGCCCGGAGGAGCAGAGCAGGGGAGGGGGCACTGGGAGAGGAATGTGTGAGCAGAGGAGAGACCCTCACCCCGTGGCTCCCAGAAAGCTGGAGATGTCCTACGTTAGTAGGCTTGGCAGGTAGAAGAATCAGAGAAATTCAAGTTAGTGTTGCTAATCTGACCCCATTAGTACTGTGGTGGATGAGTTTGAATATCTTTCCTAATCAAATAGCTCTTATGCAGTGGGGGGTTATAGGGTACCTTATAATTATGCATAGAATCACACATTCTCCAAGCAGGAAGGAGAACTATAGAACAGTGATTCTCAATCTATGAAGGACCTATATATATATATATATATATATATATATAAATATTTTTTTTTACATTTCCAGTGGATTGATATTTTTGCAAAATACAGTAAAAGTGAATTACCAGAATAATAAAAGAAACTGATGGCATCAAAAGCAGAGCCCCAATTTTTTATTATTAGATTCAACAGACGTAAAATTACTCTGGCAAGTTGTTATAAAAGTTTCCAGAAGCTAATGTTAGTACTTATCTAGCTGCAGATCAGTAAGAAACAGTTTGTGGATGGGCACTGGTCTGCAGATGATGCTTCTTGCAGTTTCATCCAACCTCTCACCTGAAGGAACTCCGTTACCCAGAGGTCCTGTCTCTAGTCACACACTTCAGTGAGTGGGATAACGACACTGTGACACTGTGCTGATGTGGGCGAGTGACCTTGCTCCAAGGGGATGCGTGCAGAGTCACGATGTCCACGACTAAACCAAGAGAGAAAGGGAGAGGCGGTAGAAGTAGGGGTAATAGGAGAGTGAGGGGGAGAAGGAGTGGCAGGGGAAAGAGCGGAAGGAAAGAGACAGAGAGAAGAAGGACACAGCATTGGCAAATGTGGCAAAATATTATTAACTGATGAATCTAGGCAGGTGTATAGGTGTTTTTAAAAATTATTTTATTTATTTAGAGGAAGACTGGCCCTGAGCTAACATCTGTGCCCATCTTCCTCTACTTTATATGTGGGATGCCTGCCACAGCATGGCTTGCCAAGCGGTGTGTAGGTCCCCATCCAGGATCCAAACTGGAGAACCCTGGGCCGCCAAAGCAGAACATGAGAACTTAATCGCTATGCCTTCGGCCAGCCCCTGTACAGGTGTTTATTATTTAATTCTTTCAAATTTTCAGAAAATATTTCAGTTAAAAAAAAGAACTCTTCAGTGATGGAAAGTGCACTATTTTCTCCAAAAAGTCAATTCCAAGATAGCGCATTTTCGTCTTTAAGCATAAATACTGCAGCTAGAGCATTCATTTTTGGCTTTGATACCTGCCATTTCCATATGTCTAATCTCCATCAATTTTCACCCTATCTCCTATACATTAGATACCCTTACAATATACTTTTAATCATATCACACCTTTCAAAAAAATATCTCAGTCTATACCATTGTCTTTCAAAGTTAAACTTTTTATTCAAGATTTTCTGGAATCTAGGGGGCTGGCCACATGGTGTAGTGGTTAAGTTTGTGTGCTCTACTTTGGTGGCCTGGAGTTCACAGGTTTGGATCCTGGGCCTGGACCTACACCTCTCGTCAGCCATGCTGTGGTGGCAACCCACATGTAAAGTATAGGAAGATTGGTGCAGATATTAGTTCAGGGCTAATCTTCCTCAGCAAAAAAGAAAAAAAAAAGAAAAAAGATTTTTTCTGCAATCTAATCTTTAACTCTTTTTGAGCTTTCTAGCTTTGCTTTCTCATGGCTAATTAACAATGCCATGAATAAATTTTTATGCTTTTCCATGTTATTGTGTTTCAGTTCTAGAATTCCCCCTTGTACAGAGTTCTAGTCTAGGCTCTCTTCAAGATGCAGCTGGAACTAATTAAATTTAGATGTAGTTATATATCTTACTATACACATCTGTTCAAATCCTACATTCTTCATGAAGTTTTCTTTGATAAACCTAGCTAAATGTTAATCCTAATCTCCAGGGTTTAATACAGTTAAGCACATACACTTAATATGCATTTTTCAGTTAAACTCTGATAGTTCTTAATTTACAATGCAGGATGCTAATACATTCCTTGTTTATTTCAAAGAGTGGCTTTGAGGTTAAAATGTTTGAGGTTAGTATTCTGCATTGTATGTGTGCGTGTGAAGGTATCTGTAAACCATAATGCCCCATACTATTATATATTGCTTTTGTTTCTGCTTTCCCTTGAGGCACCATAAGGAATATATGATAGCTACTCAAAGACCTAAGGCAGCAGACATAATACTGGGGTACTCATGGCAGATGAAGATTGTCCAAAATATGTATGAGCACAGACTCTGTTTTAAGGCAATCAGTTCTTTGATCCTCACTCCCCTTAGCAGCCATTCCTAAAATTGACCTGTCTGAAAACCTGCCCTGGGGTCATGTGGGCTTCTTTGCAGCCTGATTTATCCCAATGGTCCGTCCCCTACTTTGCAAAAGAAAGGCATAATTCTTCCCCATCCCAAATCTTACTAGGGTGCAATACCCTGGGGATGCAAAAACCTCCACCACACCAGAAAAGGAACAATCGGCTGGTGAATGAGAATGGGTAACACATCCTTTTACAAGTCAGGTGGTTGTCAGTTACTTGCTTTCAACAAAGTTGAAAGAGAACCTAATCAGAGTTGTCAGCTGATAGATCATTAGAAGTATTTTTTCTTTGTTAGATCTCTATGTGATTTTTTGGCATATAATTTGGAAGGAGTTCAAAGAACTGAGTGGCATTACTCTAACAAAACTCCATTCATTCTCATCTACTTATTTATGTGAACAAGTTTTCTTCATGCTTATATCCATGGAATTGAAAACTTGGAATAGAATGCATTCTATTAATACTCATCCACTGATAAAACAAACTAGTTGAAAAAATTCATCCAATTCCTTCTCTGAAAGATGCATTTCCAACAAAATTTTACTTTTGTGATTAATATCTATTTATAAATATTTGAAATATATTTGTTGGTGATCAGTTGAAATAATTTATGATCACAGGAAATTTAAAAATACTTAAATTTCAATTTATATACACATTTTTATTACAGTGAAATAGATGATCAAGAAGGCAGTTCAAATATAAAATATATTATTGGGATAAAATTCCAGAGAGGATCTGGAATGTAAATATGAGTTCCAGAAGATAAAGGAAGGATGTAAATTGTCCAAGTATAAAAAAGATTGTATTTTAAAAGGTGAATATCGGTGAGCATTAAATCCCAATGGTACTCTGAGTTCACTGGTTACATTTAAAAAAAGTGACAGTTACAAAGTATTTATAACAAGCGGGAAAAAAATGTAGATGGTACTTTATACTGGATAAGAACATACAAAACTGAGGGCTTCTGAGCAAAAAAGTTTGAAGATCTTGAACGTAAGAGATGTTTGCTCTGAGACTGTCACTGAACCATTTTTGGGGGTATTCAAACGCAGGTTGGACGAAAACCTGTAGCTTTATGGTGCTTATATGGATTTAGGACCTTGCATTGTATTATTTATTTTCATTCATTTTCATCTCCTCTCCGCGTCGACTGCAAGCTCTCAGAAGACCAGGGACTTCGATTCCTGGCTCAGGGCCTGTACACAGGGGACACTCCCCAAACACCCCCGGGATGAATGACTTCATCGTGAGAACGTACGGGTTAAAATCCCCGGCCCGCACTCTGCTTTTCGCTCGGCGTGGCTCGCCCGCCGCGAGGCCGGGGAAGGCGTGGGAAGCCCCCGAGGAAACTCTGAGCACTCGCTGCTGCGGGCGGGGCCGGGCGGGGGCCGGGGCGCGGAGCCCGCGGCCCGGGGGAGGCGCCACCGCGTGCCGCCGCGCAGGCGCGCAGCCGTCTCCGCGTGAGTGCGCGCAGCGGCGCGCCTGTCCCCGCGCGGGCTCCGTAGCGCGTGTGCAGGCTGACGCAGCTCGCGGGCCCTCCTCCTGCTCTGCAGCGGCGTCGGAGGAGTTTTGGGCGTTCGGGAGGGGGCGAGGGAGCGAGAGTCGAGAGAGGGAGGCGGCGGCGGCCGGGAGGAGGAGGAGGAGGAGGAGGAGGAGCAGGCGCCGCCATGGCCGCCGCTATCACCGACATGGCCGACCTGGAGGAGCTCTCCCGCCTGAGCCCCCTGCCCCCTGGCAGCCCCGGGCCGGCGGCGCGGGGCCGGGCTGAGCCCCCCGAGGAGGAGGAGGAAGAGGAGGAAGAGGAAGAGGAGGCGGAGGCCGAGGCGGTGGCGGCGCTGCTGCTGAACGGCGGCGGTAGTGGGGGCGGCGGCGGCGGCGGAGTGGGGGGCGGCGAGGCGGAGACGATGTCGGAGCCGAGCCCCGAGAGCGCCAGCCAGGCCGGGGAGGACGAGGACGAGGAGGAGGACGAGGAGGAGGAAGACGAGAGCAGCAGCAGCGGCGGGGGCGAGGAGGAGAGCAGCGCCGAGAGCCTGGTGGGCAGCAGCGGCGGGAGCAGCAGCGACGAGACGCGCTCGCTGAGCCCGGGCGCCGCCAGCAGCAGCAGCGGGGATGGGGACGGCAAGGAGGGCCTGGAGGAGCCCAAGGGACCGCGGGGCAGCCAGGGCGGCGGCGGGGGCGGCAGCAGTAGCAGCAGCGTCGTCTCCAGCGGCGGCGACGAGGGCTACGGGACCGGGGGAGGCGGAAGCAGCGCGACCTCGGGGGGCCGGCGAGGCAGCTTGGAGATGTCGTCGGATGGGGAACCCCTGAGCCGCATGGACTCGGAGGACAGGTCAGTGCACTGAAGCGTTTCCCCTTCCCTCCCTCCTCTGGCACTCCGGGGCCCCTCCGAGGGGACCAGGGGGACTTTTTGCTGAGATCCCCCTGCTCCCCGCATCCTCGGCCCCTCCCCCAAGCTCTCAACTCGGAAATCGCTCCCGGCCGCCGCGCCCCTCTCGCAGCGGATAGCGGCTTCCAACTCTCAAACCGTTTCCCCCCCAACTCTCCTTACCCCGCCCTCTTTCTCCTGGGCTCGGCACTCCTGGCGGACCTGAGGACAGCTCTAACTCGGAAACGATCCCCGAAGTAGGCCCACGTCCTCGGGCGGAGCGAAGAGGGCCTTGATGTACACACCTCGGTACACAAGGTTAGCTTCCTCCCGCCGTGTTCGCGAACACTTGTCAGAGCTGTAATTGACAAGTGTTTTCCAACATGGCTGGTCTCGCCTGGATTTAAGAGAACTTCCTTGTTCAGGGAGGAGACCCCCAACTATCACTTTCCTCTGCTTAAAAAAGAAAAGACTTTTTAAAAATATTTAATCACTACTTCCAAAATTCCTCTTGTAGTCATTAATGTGGTCTCCAGCGTGATTGAATAGCTTCTCTTGTTTTGTGGTCGAATCTGGGAGAAAGTTTAAAACGTGTATAAATCATTGTAGAAAAGAATCATGAATTGGTGTCCTTTACAATAACTTTGCGGAATCAAAGGGAGTTGGAATCGTGACAAAATACAGTCTAGAAGGTACAGTAGTATGCGGTTTAAAATCTATAGAGTAATGCTTCAACGTGAGAGTCATAATTTTAGGTGATAATATTTAAAGTCGTGTATTGGAGAGGTCTGAAGGAATTAGTAGCATTTTCCGAAAGCTTGTTAGAAATAACGTGGAGACTGGCAAAACTGCGCTTCGTTTTTTCGGGACGCTACAGAAAATTTATTGTGCTAGTATGTTTCAGTTGTTACTGTCATTACTTTTTATTTCTTTGGAAAGCTTCGTATTTTAACTAATTGGTTTTTAATGTACTTTTTTTTAACAGAACCACGTTACGTATTTTCAACTGCTTCTAAAGTGTATTAGCGTTTATTTCGATCATTTGCTAATGCTTTGATGAACAGTAGAATTTTTTAACAGTCGATACTGACTTGGACTTAAAAGTTTAAGTATTCTAAAGTTCTAGGAATTCGGATTGTTCACTGATGAAGATAAGTACTTTGGTTTCTGTTTAATGGTATAAGAAGTATAAAGCCCTAAATGTTTTGAAAACATAGCATTAGATTCTGTTTGATATTTACTTTGATATCTGGTTAAGAAAACATCTTGGATGGCATAAAATAGACTGTACAGACTTTAGAAAAATTGTCCTGAACTATAGCGTCATGGGCAGAAAAGAGAATGTCTACAAGAAAATTAAAAATTGATGTGAACTGCACAATGAAGCGTGTGCTGTTTATCATTTCACTGTATCCTCCTTTCTCGGCACCAGCAGATATTTGAAAGTTGACATTAGTTGGTACGATCAGCATCTACTACAGTTCTTCGTTTGTCTAGTACACACGCAGACACACACACTCTTGCCTACCACTGTACAATTTAAATGTCTCAATCATTTCATTCTCACAACTCTGGTGGAAGATGGATATTATCTTGACTTCCATTTAGCAGATGAAGAAGCAAGTTGAGTGTCGTACTTAAAACAGTGAGTGTAGAACAGAAGTGGTGGAGCTGGATCTGAACAAAGGTTCTCCAGTGCCATGCTATTTCCACTTGACGAAAGTTAGAATAATTCACCTTAAGTAATAGGTTGTATGTGTCAGAGGTTTTTTTTTTTTAGTTGCTATCTGTCCACTACATCCCTTTAGAAGACAGTGAATTATTAAAGTAATTTTCATTCAGGACGTGGAGTTTTGGCTTCATTTCATATTTATTAGATATTCACTTGAATATCTAATTTCTGCATCGTATTTCAGAGTAAGGAGTAAGATACTGGTGCAACAAGTCCAAATAAGATTAAACATACTTACTTTCCTTAATACTCTAATTAGAGACACAAAATATTGTAATCATTTTGCCATTTCAGTGTAATGTATGAAAAATCCCTGACGTACTAGTGAAACTGATTGTGGTCTTGATAATCTTAATCCTGAAATATCCCCTTGTTGCCTTTGAATTTTCTTTTGAGTTTGAAATTTGGAAAAGATGCATAATTCTTACAAACTGTCCTGCAGATTACCCCCGTCTTTGTGGATTTTATAGATTGATTTCATGGTAGGAAGTCTTTATTTTTGTAAAGGATGGAAGGATATGGTGGTTTTAAAGTGCTTTTAAAGAAACTTGAGGCATTCCTATTACAATGATTTTATTCTCATTAGATTTTACTCTTTCTGTGGGACTTCAGTTTTTTTAATCACTTTGAAATTAGACTGCACTTTTGAGTGATCTAAAATACTTTAGATTTTGTTGAACTCTCTTAAATGTTTTTAACTGTAAGTCCTTTTTTTTAGAGAAGAACTAAATATAAAAACTTAGATACTAAAGCTTGTGATCCAAAATGTCAGCTTACGAACATGTGTTGGAAGTGGTGTGTGGTGAAAGGTGACTAATTTATGAATGATTAAATGATACTTGGTACAAAAAACATTGATTATTTTCCCCAGGAGAAAATTATTTATTCAAAACCAGTGTAAGTGTATTAGTGTGTTTATTTTGGTAAATTTAGAAAACTTTAAAGTTGATATGTAATTTACTTTTCGTTTGGTTATAGAGATAATGGAATTTTCTTTGGGGGGAATATTTAGCTGTGCAAGACCACTAAAAACTAGTTTTTCTTTTACTTTGAACTTAAGTACTTTTTAATTAAAAAAAACTTTAAGATAAATCTTTTAGGTTAGTTTTAGAGGTTAAATTAACTTTAATAGGATTTTAGAATTTAAAAATGCCTCTAAAATTTTTTTAGTTTACGAATTAGTTCTAGCTATTGAATCAGATTGTACATGAAAGTACTTTTAGGTTCTTATCCGTATATAGGTGAATTGATAACTATAGCCTCTATTTTTGGTTGTTTCTTTAATATATGTGTGTGTGTGTATATATCTCTGTCTCCCCAACTAGAGTGTAAACCATGACTTATTTTGAAAACGCCAAGACCACTTTCAGCCGTTTTTATGAGCCTTTCTGGATAAGTCCAGGTGTCAAGTGAAAACGGCATGTGTAAAGGTGGGGTGATAGTGCAAGCGAATATAGCATGAAAGTTAATGGTCAGCCAAGGCCACAAGCCCTTAGCATTTTGTGGGTCAAAATTTGGACTCCCAGCCTCACGGGTTGCAAACTTTGAGATAGGATTAAGATTAGTTTGACACTGGAAAAACAGGCTTATATTGCCTAATTTCCCAGTAGTGTCATTGGGAAGATCTTTTTCCAGTATAGAGGCTAAACTTTTAAATCAGATTAATACTAAAAGGCTGCATGTTGAGGTTATCATCAAGATTTATTAAGGATCTTTTTGGTTGAGGCAATGTAGTACTTACTTTGTGAAGTAATATTTTGCTCAATACTTTGTGATGGAGTGCCCTTTCACTAGCTACCTCTTTCACCTCTGAAGCAGCTGTCAATAGTCTCCAGCATCCCTCTTTAAGCTACCCTTTTATTTTGATTAAATTTAGGGAGAAGAGCTCTAATAGGTCTCAGTTTTCATTGGTAGCGTATTGTAACTCTCCGTTAAGGAAGGTATGGCTCTGCTAAAACCTAAGCAGACAACAGTAAACTTTAGGATTGAATTTATATGGAGAGATTCTAAGGGATCATTTTACTTTTAAGAAACCTTAAGACTAGTTTCTTGGTTCAGTTAGGAAGTTCAGTGTATAAGCTAGTTTGCTACCAAACACAGGTATTTACTATGTGCAGGACTCTTTACTGGGTGTTATAGGAGATAGGAAGACAAAATCCCACTTCATTCATCTTGCATATTACTGTTAGACTTTTAATTCCAAGGTGTAGGTTTTGCCATAGCTCTTAGCACAAAATTTCATTGACTCTAAACAAAGTTAGAGGTTTCACACCTTGCCTATTGTATTAGTTATTTATTGTTGTGCAACGGATTTCCCCCAAGTTTAGCAAAGATTTGTTATTACATGTGGTTTCTGAGAGTCAAGAATGAAGAGGCTTAGCTTGGTGGTTCTGGCTGAGGGTCTCATGAGGTTGCAGTGAAAATGTTGGCCAGCACTGCAGTCATCTGAAAGCTTGACTGAGGCTGGAAATCCAATTCCAGGATGGCTCATTTATGTAGCTCTTGGCAGGAAGCCTCAGTCACTCCCCAAGTCAGTTTCTCCATAGGGTTTTTTGTGTGTCCTCATGACATAGCAGTTTCCCCCAGAGCAAGTGATCTGAGAGAGCATGCAAGGAACAAGTCGCAATTCCATTTTACGACTTAAATGTACATGCTCACATTTTCTTCATATGTCTTCATTTAGCAGATAAGTTTTTCCTATTACTTGTTTTATCGTATGCTGATGCACAAGAATTGCTTCAAATTTATGTTGACTGAGACAACTTTTCAAAACCCATCAAAATGCCACAATTACTATGTGTGATAGATATTTATTCTACACAGGTACATAGAACTCCCATTATGTACCAGGTACTATTGGAGGTTCGTAGAACCCCCGTTATGTGCCAGGTCCTATTGGAGGTACTGAGTACACAGCAGTGAATAAATAAAGCCCTTGACCTCATGGGTGGAAGAGACAGACTGCACACATGAACTGATAGTAGGTAGTAATGATCTCTTACCTTTATTATGAAGTAATATAGGGTCTGAAATCCCCCAAAGTACTGTACCACCTGTTAAATAATGTGGCAAGTATCTCTAAATGAGTGCTCCAGAAACTTGTAAAAGAATGTGCCAGACCAAAATATTTTATTAGAAAATTTACATTTTAATTAATTATCTATTCTGTGGTTGACCTAAAAAACCTTGTAATACCTTTTATTTTTAATAGTTTTTAATATGTAAGCGAAGCTACTAGTGATTTATTAGTAAAAAGGTTTGGGGTATGTTTTTTCGGAATGATAATGGATTTGTAGTGATCTTAATCACATGTTGAATTCATTTTTATGAGTAATAGTTTGCATTTGTGAAAATAATAGTTGTAACGACCTTAGAACTAAATGGGTAGTTTTGGGCATGCATAGGAGATCAGATGGATGTTTGGATTTTTAAACGAATCTTTTTTTGAGCATTACTGATGGTTAACATTGTGCCCTGTTTAGTGATTGGAAAGAACTGTGATGGTATCACCCCCCCCCCCCCCCCAGCTATTTAGTTTTTAAAGGGAAGACTAAAAAGATGATTGCATTATTTTCTAGTTTTTCTGT